CCCCAAAACCCCAAAACCCCAAAACCCCAAAACCCCTAGGACGTCACATCAAGTTGAAAAGAAGTGAGAAAGTTCTTATAATAATACTATATGGAGAATACCTCTTTCAGAGCTATTATTAGCGATTTTAAGAAGCCTTATATTACAACTAAGGAGTTCAGAGAGCTTAAAGAAGGTGAAGTCTTAGTGAAAGTCCTAACAGCCACAATCAACCCTGCAGATAGAGATCTTGCCTTTGGAAAAGTTGAAGCTCCAGGAATAGAGAGCCTCCTTCCCATAGGGCTTGGATTTGAAGGTTCAGGTGTTATTGAAGATGGGTATGGTGAACAGGAAAAGAAGCTAATTGGGACCCCAACAGCCATCTGCTTTGATCCTATCAATCCTATGGAAATTGGAACTTGGAGCGAGTACGTTTATATGCAAGCAAAGGATGTTATGCCATTCCCAGAAGGAACTGACTCAGAGACTATTTGTGCTCTTGGGAATCCTTTGACAAGTTTCTCAATGATGGAGAGAATAGAAAAAGGAGGCCATAAAGCTGTGGTCCAATCAGCTAGTTGCTCAGCACTTGGAAAGATTTTCTTTAGACTTTGTCAGAAGCAAGGTATCCCAACTATCAATATTGTGAGGAAAGAAGAGCAGATAGACATCATGAAAGATATTGGGGCAGAACATGTTCTAAATTCTACTAGTGAGACATTTGAAGGTGATCTTAAAGAACTTGCTACAAGACTTCAAGCAACTATATTCTTTGATCCCATAGGAGGAGATTTTATCCTTCAAGTGCTGAGAGTTCTCCCTGCTAACTCCTCAGTAGTATGTTTGGATAACCTAAGCCATAAGCCTATCTCTTTCGATCCCTTAGAGTTGATCTTCCAACAAAAGGAAATCTCATCTTTGCATTCCCCTGCTTGGATGAGCAATCAGAGCTCAGAAAGAATAAACGAAATTTTCAGTGAGATAGCTAATGATATAAGCAATGCAACCTCTTCATACTCCCAAGACGGTCAGAAAGCTCCAGGAGGAATATTCACAACAAAGATCTACAAATCCTATCCTCTAGAAGAAATAGAATCCGCCATTGAAGATTCCATACAAAACGCTTACAAAGGAAAGACCATTTTCAAGCCTCACTCAACTTAACCAATCTGCACAAATTTCGGAAAAAGTGGCGATTTTATGAATTAATTGCCACAATTTACAAAAATACCATCAACCGTAATTTTTATGTTTGGGGTTTTGGGGTTTTGGGGTTTTGGGGTTTTGGGG